TGGAAGAGGCTAATATAATTGTAGACAGGACACTTTTTTGCTTTTAAAATACCTTGACAAGATTTTGGTGTGAATTATTTCCACCAAAATCCCAAGAATTCAAGTAAAAAACATATTTCTTCATGTTGTCTGCACTGGAATGAATCATGGGCTATGTAGTTTCCGATGTTTGTAAGATATTGCTACTGTAAAACCATGCATTTAAGCAAAGGAACTTGTGATTTGATATTTTGTGACAGCCCTAGATATTACTGTGAGACTTCTGACGATACAATATTATGATGTTTTGGTTACTGTTACATCCCTACTAAACAGTAAAAACAAGAGTAAGAGTTGAAGTGTGTTGTTAAGTCAGTGTATTTGTATGAAAGATCCTGGGAGAGCACTTGATTTTTGCAAACTGTGCTGATCTAATGTAGCCAGGCTGGTCCCACCTAGTGCCCGCGCTCAATTTCATTTCTCTCCAGCGACTAGGTCAGGAATCAGAATACATTAGATGGTTTGTAACTTGACAAGTTGTAAACCGTGCAACAGCCAATCAGCGAAGAGGTGTGAAGCCATGATGTCAAACTCAAGCGCCTGCCTGGGTCCCCTTTGTGGTACAGCACAACAGTAAACAAAGCGGTCGAGATGGATGTAGACGAAGACATACATTCTGTGTTGGCAACAAAGAGAATGTTTGGTGAATTTTATCAAGGGGAAAGACGTTATTGCCCTTCTTCCTACGGGATTTGGCGCATTACATACGTCACGACCAAATAGCAGCGATTGGTTAAATTAAAAAAAGTACCCACCAACCATCGAGCGAATGAATTCTAAACCTGCGAGGTCAGACGGTTTCCACAAAATGAAACCAGTTGACGAATCAGGCTGGATCTAACAAGGGCCTTAGAAAAGATTTTCAATAGAAGAAGAGCAAATTCTGTATAAGTTTTCCACGGTATCTAGCTGACAGCCCATCACAGCGCTTTTTGACGATAAAATGTCATTATGTGCACTGCTGGATTGGACTGTAAAGGGCCTTAACCAGGACTAAACTTGTGAGATAGAATTGCCACAATTTAAGAGAAATTATTTCCAAATCTCTCTTTTTCTCATTCTCATGGAGCTAATCTTGTGTCTCATCTCATCTTGTGGAAATTGTCTTGACCCGTCCCTATGCACTATATAACTTTTTTGGCAGACAGCCTCAGTAGTTTAGCCTGATTCATCAGCCAGTTTCACTTTGTGGAAACCGTCTGACCTCTCAGCATTAGGATTCGTTCGCTCAACCGTAGACAGGTACTTTTTTAAATTTAACCAATCGCGGCTATTTGATTGTGACATATGTAATGTGCAACCTGGTATATTAAGCTTTTCCCAAATCCCGTAGGGCAGTAACTTCTTTCCCCTTGATAAAATTCACCAACCATTCTCTTTGTTCCGGCTTTAAATCCTCGATCTCTTGAATCGTTGCCAACACAGAATGTATGTTTGCTGATTGACTGGTGCCTGAACTCACACTTCCGGGGTTTTTGCAAACCTTTTAGTGTATTCTGATTCCTGACCTAGTCGCTGGAGAAAAATTAAATTGAGCGGAGGCACTAGGTGGTATCAGTAGTGGATTATCTACCCAAAAAGTTACATAGTGTGTCTAAAATGATAGTTTGTTTATCTGCATATGTATAGGGTGACATCTGTTAACCTTATTTTGTGCTTGTGCATTTTGTGCTTGTGTTAAAATCAAACCATCTCTCTGTGGTTATGTTATCACACTCTCCTCTCTGATATGGCTCCATTGCTTCCTATACACTGACAGGCCTCTGTGCTCCAGCCCAGTGTGACCAGCAGATTCCTGGGCGCGCTGCCTTGGGCTTTTCTCTCCGCGGTTCTTTTTTCTTAATCATTAGCTTGGATGCTTGACAAGCGTGTGAGCCATAGCATGGATCTCTTTGACTAAAACCTTGTAAATTAACACAATTAGTGCAGCATCATCCCGCTAATTAGCTGGCGGCGTGGTGTGTGGCGGCGCGCTAACGTCTGGGAGGTAGTCAGATGGGAGTGCAGGGCTTGTGAGGAGAGCCGGGTTTGTAATGGGCCCGTGGACAATAGCTGTTTGTTGCTTAAAGCCTGTCTGTGAGACTTAACCCGCTGGAAGAGAGACAAAGGAGCAGAGCAATGGCCGCCGGGCAGAGGAGCAGGGAGTGGACCAAACAGAAAGTTAGGAGGGCGGGGAGTGGGGAGTGGACCGACTAAATGAGCATGTCTGTAGTGTTTTGTTTTTGTTTACTGGGCCCATATTTTGGTATTTTCTCATCTAAGTTATCATGTTGTTTCCTCATCTCAAACATACCTGGAGTTGTGTTTTGTTTTGTTTCATTCACACATGTTTAACACACAAATCTTACATATTTAAGCAGAGTTTTTCCTCTTAAATGGAAAATACTTGTGATGTTATGCTATAATACAGGAAGTGCTCCACTATGTTTTTAAACTCCACACAATTTCACGAGAATTATTTGGATGATTCAGTCCTGAAATTTTCAATCTCTACTGAACAAAAGGTAAAGGCAGCTTGAAAACTTCCATGTCCACTATCATCACAAGGTTAAGGAATTACTCAAATGTGTGAATGAAACAAAACGCAGCTTTCTGAGGCAGTGACAACATGTCATAAAGCAAGAATCAATTTTACGTATTGATCCATCTCAACGCTCAATTAAATTTTTATTTAATCTTTTCAAAAACAAAATTAAAACTGCTTTTAGTTCTGATTTCATAAAATAAACACAAAAGGCATATGAGAGCCAGATTTTTATGATTCTCTAATTTTGACTTAATTTGGTGGGATTATAATTTATAGTTTTACACAAATCAAGATACAATTTGTGAAGAAAAATAATTAAATACGTTGAAAATTACAGGACATTTTGTTTTAATATTGATGTCATTGCACTGATAATTCTATCCAAATATCAGGCACATCTTACTTTTTTTTTTGATACTTTAAACCAGGGGTGTCAAACTCTTTTTGGTCTGGGGGCCGAATCCAACTTACTCTGATCCCAAAGGGGCCGGATCAGAAAACTCATGGCATATAAACCCCAAACATAACAATAACTTCAAATGTTTGTGCAGAGAAACACAAATCTGTTACATAAATCTTTTTTTTTAATTGATGAACTCTTTCTTTTACAAAATATTATATTATGAACAACCTGAAACTTTAAGAAAAATGCAATTTCAACACAATGTTTTAACATTTACTTGTATGCAAATAGGAATAAGTCAATTTTTCTTGTAAAATCCTGCACTCGACATCCACTTTTCTAATTTTTGACATTTTGTTGATGAGGGTGTCACGGTCAACAGTTAAACGATCGTCCTTTAAGAGCGTTTGGAAAGGGACAAGTGTTCATTTGTGCTGCTCTGGTGGGAGGGGCCGCACACAGAGGCTCTGGAGACACTGCTATGTTCAGCGACGCAGAAAATTACCAATATTTTAATAGAAAATATAATTAAAATATTTTAGTAGAAAATCAGCCGAGGGCCAGATTAAAGGTCTTGGAGGGCCGGATCCAGCCCCCGGGCCTTATGTTTGACACCCCTGCTTTAAACTTTAAACTAAATGATTCAACAAAATAACGGTTTTCTTATATTTGTATTTTTATCAGATAATAAATTCTGTGTACATTAGAGGAGGTTTGCTTTGTAACAGCTTTGAAATTCCCAAGTGTGAAGTCATGATTTTTTTTTCTTTTAGTATATTTTTTAAATTAATAAACGTAAACCACATGTCCAAAATTTTGTATTAGATTTATTTTCTTAAATCTGAGCATTAAACTGTGTACACCACTGTTAATATTTTATAGCCCATATAGGCGATATAATTACACAAAACAATATAATGTTTAAAACCTAACATGTCTGATTGCACGTACTGTAGCTGCTAAAAGACCAGCGTATCCCTCCCTCTCCTTCTCTCTCTCTCTTCCTCCCTTTCTCCTTCTTCCTCTCTCTCTCTGCAGTGGCGCTGGACTGTGCAGGATGTAATTCATACTGGGCTCAGACTTTGGTGTGATGAAGGCACCGGAGCACTGCCAGGAAGATTGCTTTGGCTCTGTCTCCTACGCTCTATATGAGAGAGAGAGAGTGAGCGCGAGAAGAGGAGAGGGAGGGAGAGAGACGAGGGGGGAGACAGACAGAGGGGAGGGCTAGAGAGGGGGAGAGAGGGGCGTAGAGGGAGAAAGAAAGAGTGAGAGGGGGAGAAAAAGAAAGTAAGGGGGCGCGGAGAGAGAGATGGCGGTAGAAAAAGAAAGAGGGGATAGATAGATAGACAGACAGATAGGGAGAACGAGAGAGAGAAAGAGAGGGAGAGAGTGCAGGATTATAGAGTGACCCTCCTTGCCTGAGTCACTCGCTCAGCACTGCAGAATTACAGCCTAACCAGGTGTAGCTTTCACTGCTCACTGTAAAGACGGAGGTTAGAAGACATGTGATGTGTGGTGTGTAAACTGTTAGCTTAGATAGTCTGATGGACGTACGGATGATAAAAGGAGGCGAGAGGAAATTTTATACTTACTATTTTTCATGGGCAATTTTCATTTTCAGACACCTCAAAAATATGGATGTGTGATATGAGACAAAAACACACAGTATAATATATATATATATATATATATATTCCTCCTTATCCTTGATCATTCCCAATTTTTTATATTTTTTTTTATTTTGGATTATTAAAACAGGCAGAAGTAGATTTAGAAACAGAGAAACAACACAGACTTTAAATCTGTCATTTGCGCTGAATGTGTGAGGAGACTTTTCCAAAAGCTTCACTTTATGTCCAGTACCTGTGTTTAGTGTGAAGTCTGTTTTTACCTTGAATTATTTAATACCACCTGATATTCTTTCCATTTATGAAATTGCTTTTTTATGTAAAATCTTTGTGATACTAATTTCATATGTAATTATCTGACTGACTTAAGCTAACATGAGGGTGTCTGTGTGCCTCAGGTGTGAAGATGCAGTGGACCCCAGAGCACACCCAGTGGGCGGAGCAGCACTTTGACATCTCCTCCACCACACGCTCTCCAGCGCACAAAGTGGAGTCGTACCGCGGCCACCTGCAGAGGACGTATCAGTACGCCTGGGCCAATGACGACATCTCCGCTCTCACCGCCTCCAACCTGCTCAAGAAGTACGCCGAGAAGTACTCAGGCATCCTGGAGGGGCCCGGAGACAGGACCCTGCTGTGCTCCTACTCTGAGAGCTCCACTGGACTCATGAACGGACGCAAGGCCGACAATGAGTCCTGGCAGGAGGGTATTTACCCAATGAACTGTGCTCCAGATGTTATATCTGTGAGCAAAGCAGGCATGACAGCTGCCCTGCCCCCCTCTGAGGCCTCTGCGAGCATGGGCAGCTCCCCCGGGGTGGCCAGCAGCCTGTCGGAGCCCTGTTACTCCAGCAGTAACTGTGGGAGCCACACAGCCACTACCCTGCACTCAGGCCTGGGCTCTCAGGAGTACAGCTCCAGCTACAGCGCCCCCTACCTGCACTCTTACAGTGGACAGAGCACCCCTGCACTGCCCTCCCCTCACCCCTCTCCTCTGCACAGCTCCGGACTGCTCCAGCCTCCTCCTCCCTCTTTAGTCTCCAGCTACAACGCTGGCTCTCCAAACCTGCCTAACTACAATTACCCTTCAACAGGCTATTCCTCTCAGAGTGCAGTGGGTCCCGGTTACAGCCCTGGGGGTGCCCCCCCTCCTTCTGCTTATCTGCCGTCCGGTTTAGCTGCCCCCACACCCATCCCTCCCTCCACCCTACCCGGCTACACCTACCCCTCCCACAGCCACACCCCCCTCACCCCCACCCCTCTGAACGGCAGCGCGTCCGGCTCATTAAAGCGAAAGGCTTTCTACATGAGCACACATGGAGATGTGGACTCCAGCTACGCTCACTTCAACTACAGCCAGCAGCGCTCTGCACACAGCCCCATGTACAGGGCCCCCGACAGCAGCGTGCCCGACTCCACTCGTGCTAACGCCTTTGACAGGGGCACAGAGGGCTTTAAGACGAGCAAACAGCCCTCTGATGCTCAGAGGAAGTTCAGCGGAACTCCAGGCAGAGCACTGACTCCTCCCTCTTATGGATGCACTAAGGGCTCCGGCCCTGACCACAGACCTGAGGCCTACAGCTCTGAGCTGGGCTCTGGCTCCTCGGTCCACGCTGCAGAGGAGCAGCTCAAGAATAGCGACTCCAGCTTGGTGGAGCTAGTGAGCACAGAGGTGTTGCAGCCAGGGCCCCCTGTGGACTGGAGTGACATTGCAGGTCTGGAGATGGTCAAAGCCACCATCAAAGAGGAGATCCTGTGGCCACTGCTAAGGCCGGACATGTTCAGTGGACTGTCCACTTTACCGCGCAGTCTGCTGCTCTTTGGACCTCGGGGCACAGGGAGGACTCTGCTGGCCCGCTGCATGGCCAGCCAGCTGGGGGCAGTGTTCCTGCGCCTGAGTGCCTCGGCTCTGGTCACTAAGTGGTTAAGTGAAGGGGAGAAGATCCTGCAGGCCTCTTTCTTGATGGCGCGGTGCAGGCAGCCGGCCGTGCTCTTCATCAGTGACGTAGAGCTGCTGTTATCGGCTCAGCTCAGTGAGGACAGTCCAGTGAAAACTCTGAAAAGTGAGCTGCTGCTGCATTTAGACAGTGTACTGAGCTCCACACAGGACCATGTGCTAGTGGTGTGCTCCTCCAGTAAACCTGAGGACATCCCTGAGGCTCTGAGACGGTACTTCACTAAAAGACTGCTGGTGCCTCTGCCCGATGGAGCGGCCAGACACCAGATGATCAGCACTCTGCTGGCTCAGCACAACTACTGCCTGAGTGAGAAGGAGCAGGCTCTGCTGGTAAAGCGGACTGAGGGTTTTTCTGGGCTGGATGTAGCACAGCTCTGTCACGAGGCTGTGGTGGCTCCTCTCCACGGCATCCCCCCCTCTGAACTGTCCAACATGCACCCCAGCCAAATGAGACCTGTGGCCTACCAGGACTTTGAAAATGTATTCTGCAAATTTCAACCCAATATATCACAGAAAGAACTGGACATGTACACAGAGTGGAACAAAATGTTTGGTTGTAGTCAATGAAAAACACTAAAACCATGTGCGATGTAAACGTGTGCACAGATACAGACACTGGTCACATGGACAGTACAGCAAAGTGAATGTCGTCTTTGGCTTTAGAACACTATTAAACTCTGGTGTGGTGAATATGAAATGCTTTATATGGCTGAGGCCGTACGACTATGGCTCATTGAAGACACACCTGTTTTGTACATACTAATATAAATAGAAACATATATATAATTCTGCAGATTTTGAGATTTAGAGGCGAACAAGTGCCTACGGTGGTGCTGATTTGTGATATTTTATAATACAAAGCTTTAAAATGACTTAAAAAGTGGTTTCCCTCATTGGATCATTGTTCTACAGTCTGTTTAGTGCTCACGTTTGTGTTTGACGGCAGAGTTTGGTTGATTTGAGCATCATTATGAGGAAGTTGTGTGTTTCCAAAACGTTTTACAGTGACAAAAGTGACAACATTGCATTCACAGTCCCATTACAAAAACTCCAAAATAAAACAAAAAATTTCAACAATGTCACACCAGAATATCTCTTCTACTGTTTTCTCCTTAAGTCAGAACTCAGGTAACAGTCCCACTTGGCCCTATCCAAGCAGTAAGGTGTCTCAAAGTGTGGTGTCCGTACAGTAATACCTCAGAAGTTCACCGTGACATGAAAGAGAAACATATAACAACATTTGGATTACAGATGAGAGATTTGCCTTTGAAACTAAGAAGCCCATATCTCAAATTGTATCCTGAAGGCTGTCGTATAGTGTAATTTCCACACAAAACCGTTCTATCTGTGGTATAGTTTAGTTTAGTGAGCAGACTGCAGCGCTCAGCCTGGCCAAAGGTGGAGACAAAGATCTGGGTGGAGGCCGCAGAAGTAGCTGGGAGCGCTGTCCTTCCTCCGCGCTCTGTTTTATCACTAATGAAAGCGCGGGATTACACAGCTTCTCTCGTGGATCGCTGCATTATCTCCAAAGGACAAATTTACTCAAAGCCAAATGTCAGTTATGCGGATACTGAACTTACAGCGGCGGGAATTTCTACTCTACACCCTGCACTTGCTGGTAACGCTTAGGGATGTAACAATAACGGAAATATCGTGATATCGTATCGTCAAAGTTCTCACAATAACATCTTGGACCATCAAAATATATCGAATTACAAGTCTCTTTGCTCAAATTAAGAGTTATGGTGCAGCAAAAGCTAAAAAAAAAAAAAAAAACAGAAGGAACTACATAGACCATGATCCTTTGCTACATTTCAGTGCAGACTACATGAACAAACTAGAAAAGCACTCAGAGAGCGCAGACCTCCGCCAAGGACTACCCCCATTTTTTATGTAAATTGCGATAAAATCAGTCTTCTGGATCAGATCCGGATCAGCCTTTGGAATATGAAAGAGGATCCCATTGTCCATCCCTGAGTCAAATTTCATGGGGTTTGGTCAATAATTAACCGAGATATTGAGAAACTAAATTTTTGGCCCCATTTACCACAATGTTAACTAAAATTTCTAAGTGATCCAGAATCCAGGATTTCTTCCGGATCACCCCCTTCCTTTTCACATTTCCAACAAATCCTGAAAATTTCATCAAAATCGGTCCATAACTTTTTGAGTTATGTTGCTAACAGACAAACAAACAAACAGACAAACGCCGGCAAAAACATAACCTCCTTGGCGGAGGTAATAACAGTTCTAAGCACTTTTAAGTCTTGTCAAGGCATTTTAACATGGAAAAATAGCATATTAACAGTTTTAGCCTCCACAAAATATCGGAATAAATAAACGGAATAAATATGTGAGATGTATATCGTGAAAATATCGTACAGAGAGATTTGGATATTGTTACATCACTAATCGTGAGCCTCTCCACCATATCGTGAGCTTTCCCATGATATCGCAATAAATATCGTACCGTGAGGTTCATACCGTGACGATATCGTATCGTGAGACTTGGATATCGTTACACTCCTAGTAATGCTGCATTGACAGACCTGTGAGAGTTGGGTTCATAGACTGTACATGTAAATGGACATAGTTAACCCACTAGACCAGGGGTGGGCAAACGTATTGACTCGTGGGCCACAAAGGGTTCTAAAATTTGACTGAAGGGCCGGACCAGGAGCAAATAGATGGAATTTTTTGGTAATCCACCTCATAAGAGAAAAAAATAACATGGGATATGTAGAAAATATGTTTCATTTTATTGAAATATCCCATAATTGAAAATCATTACAAAGCATTACAACAAAATATCTGTCTTTCAAGTCCCACGGTATTTACTATTTACTGAAATGACTTTTAAAACACTGAAAATGATTATTATTATTACTATTATTCAAATTCGGCAGGCCAGATTAAAAAGATTAAAGGGCTACATATGGCCCTGGGGCTGTAGTTTGCCCACCCCTGCACTAGACTCTCCGAATTGGAAGTGAGCATGAGTGCGCTTCCGACTATATTGGACAAAAAGTTCCCCCTCTCTCTGTAACTGCTGCTGTCAGGCTCATCTTTTCGGTCTTAAAATGTTAATATTAACCCGCTCTAAGTGATTTTTGTTTTTTTTTATTTTGCTATTTTCTCCATAAATCAAGATATGAACATTAATAACAAACAAATCAGCCGCCTTATTTCGCCAAAGTCGCTCCCAGGTTTGACTGACAGCCAGAAGAGGCATTACCTTCAACAGTAGGGATGTACCAATAACTGAAATATCGTGATATCGTATCGTCAAAAGTCTTACAATAATATAGTGGGCTGTCACGATATATCAAATGATCAAGTTCCTTTGTTTAAATGCATAAAAAGCTTATAAACATTGGTAACTACATATCCCATGATTCATTTCAGTGTAGACATATGAAGAAATATTTTTTTTAACTTGAATTCCTTGGATTATGACAGAAATAATTCACACCAAAATCTTGTCAAGGTGTTTTAAAAGCAAAAAAGCATCCCATCTACAATAATAACAGCCTCTTCAAAATATCACAATAAATATCGTACTGTGAGGTTTGGATATTGTTACATCCCTATTCGACAGCCTTAATCTGGATTGGCTCCACGGCCCTATAACTGTCAGCCTCGATGAGCTTCATTTGACTGGAGCCGAACTCTAGGTGTGACATTACACTTTGTCCACTTCTTTATACAGTCTAAGGTTCAGTTTGAACATGACAGTACAGACCGCAGGGACGACAAGACTCTCTTTAAAAGGCTGGGTTGGTTGCTGAAAAATAACCAGCTAAGATTGAGTTTAAAACCTCATAAAAACATGGACGAGTTTTAGGTTTGCAGCCCTCCCCCAAAATTAGGCCCTATGTTCCCACATTTCGTTTATCATCAATTTACATCAGATTTTATCCCCATTTCTCCCAATTTGGTCGTCACACCCGACCTATTATCCAGCAGCAGTTGACTACAGATGTAATGTAGAGGTCACGGTGCAAAGGACCTTAGGTTAAAATGACTCTGAATCATCTCTTTAAAACTAAAAATGACTTGACTTAAGAGTTAAATTTGAGAAAAATCTTAGAAATAAGGGAACACAGGGCTGACCCAGAGATGACTTTGCTAAAACATATTGTTAATACAGAAACTTGGCAGAAAAAGTTTCAGCTGTAGTCATCTGGACACTGTTTCTGAAATTGCGAAATTTCCTTGATGGCAGTAAAAACCTACATTTGAAAAACAGTGTCCAGATGAAAGATTTTATGGACCACTCCTGGGTGAATGAGGGTTTACATCGACTAGTACAGAGTAGGGGTGTGCATTGCCACGATATGCATCACGATATGCCTCGATGTCACGATTCAATATATCCCAATATAGCCTGATACTAAAACAAATTACGATATATTATGATTTATCAATAATTATGTATAATATTTTGGTTGAGCACACATTCATGAGAACAAAATTTTATGAAATACAGTTTATTTAATATTTAAATCATGAGAACAGGAATTTGAACTTATGAATTTCCATGAAAAACTTGACTTTTAAAAATCAAATTCAGACACATTTTGAATCGATATAAGAATCGCACAATGAAGTATTACGATATATCACTGAATTAATATTTTCTTACGTCCCTAGCACAGAGGCTTATTGTTGCCAACTGATCAGAAACTAAACCTGGGCTGTGTCACTTTTACAAAGAAAATCACTTTTTCAAATTATATTTTCCCATTTTTTCAAGTTACAATAACCTGTTTGTTACTTTATTGTGACCTATATCAAAGTTTCTATGTGTGTCTTAACCAGATCATCAAAATTTTACCAAATGGTGTCAAATTATAATTTTTTGTTGACAGCAGCACATTTATTCTTGCAAAGAAAATTCCTGTAAATGTCCATGTTAAAATGTGTTTTGTTTGCTGTGTCATTCTCTCTCCAAATTTCAAAATACTCATTTCCACCTTGTGATGTCACGAAGCGATAGTTTACTTCAATAGCTAACATTTTACCTTTAGTTCAGTAGAGATTGGCAATTCCAGAGCTGAAATCATCCAAATGATTCTAGTGAAGGTGTGTGGAGTTTAAAAACACACTGAAGCACTTCCTGTATTTCTGTTTGAGAGAAGAACTCAGCCTTAATATGCAGGATTTGTGAGTTAAACTTGTGTGAGTGAAGCAAAACACAACTCCAGTTCTGTTTTTGATGAGGAAACAACATAAAATAACACAATATGGTCCTTTTATAGCTGTCATTCATAGTCTTAACATTACTTATATAAGGCAAAACGTCTATTCTTAGCTCAGACCATCGCACCAAGTCATGAGTCACTTGCATGTAAAGTGCAACCCCAGTTACAGAGCATACTGAAGGCATTAAAGCTGGGTCCTATCTTTTCAAAACAATGCAGGGTACATGTTTGTGCTCCATTATAAATCTGACTCTTTTAAAAACGTCTAGATACCACCACATAAAGCGTGTTCTTGTTGTTTACCGTCATATCCTTTGCCAAAATATTGTAGCAGCAACAAACTCCAGAAGCATTACCAAATTC